TGCCTCCCTAACCTGTTCTTCCTCCCACCTATCCCCTCCTCCCACCTCAAGCCGCACCTCCATCTCCTACCGACCAACCTCATCCCGCCCCCTTGACCTGTCCGTCCTCCCTGGACTGACCTATCCCCTTCCTAACTCCCTACCTACTATCAACCTGGGAGGCAGCTTTCAGGGAACTGTGGACATGAATCCCAAGATCCCTCTGCTCCTCCACACTGCCAAGAATCTTTCCGTTAACCCTGTATTCTGCTTTCAAGTTTGTCCTTCCAAAATGAATCACCTCACACTTTTCAGGGTTAAACTCCATCTGCCACTTCTCAGCCCAGCTCTGCATTCTATCAATGTCCCTTTGTAACCTAGAACAGCCCTCCGCATTATCCACAACTCGACCCACCTTCGTATCATCCACGAACTTGCTAATCCACCCTTCCACTCCTACATCCAAATCATTTACAAAAATCACAAATAGAAGAGGACCCAGATCCTTGTGGTACACCACTCGTAACTGAGCACCATGTTGAATATTTTCCGTCCACTACCACCATTTGTCTTCTAAGGGTCAGTCAATTCTGAATGCAATCTGCCATATTTCCCCCTATCCCATGCCTCCTTACTTTCTGCATGAGCCTCCCATGGGGAACCTTATCAAACGCCTTACTTAAATCCATGTACACCACATCCACTGCTCTACCTTCATCCACATGTTTGGTCACCTTTTCAAAGAATTCAATAAGGTTTTTGAGGCATGATCTTCCCCTCACAAATCCATGCTGACTATCATGAATCAAACTGTGCCTATTCAAGTGATCATCAATCCTATCTCTCAGAACCCTTTCCAATAATTTGCCCACCACTTACGTAAGACTAACCGGCCTGTAATTTCCGGGGTTATTCCTATTCCCTTTTTTGAACAATCAATCTTGTTCTCTTTGCCCCTTTTTCTTAAATAGTGGGGTTACATTTGTCACTTTCCAAACTGTAGGGATGATTCAGGAGTCTAAACAATTTTGAAAGTTTACCATCAATGAATCTTGAAAGACACAACTTTCAACACTCTGAGATGCAGATCGTCATCTCTCCAGGAACCTGTATATCTTTTTAATTCATTGGATATAGGCATCACCAGCTAGAGGTGTTCAGGATTTTACCACAAAACCACTCACTTCCCATGTTATAAAGGCTCATAGAATGCCACTATTTATAAAGCCCAAGACTGCATATGCATACTTTACCATTTTGTCAAAACTGCCCTGACACCTGCAATGATTTGTGCACATTCTACTTACAGATTCCACTTATATCCAAACAGTTCACAAGAATGTCTAATTATAAGTTCTGTGTTATCTGCAAAGCATGAGATTGTGCCTTGGATCCAACAAGTTTGGTCACTAAATAGACCAATAAAAGCATTGATCCTAATACCAACTCAGGAAAACTAATCTTGAATCTGTTAAACAACCCTCCCCTCCATAGCTCCACCAACTCCCAACCCCCACCCCCCTGCCAACAGTGTAGTTTCCTGCCACTTAGGTCGATGCCATATCCATTCTGCTCTTGCCCTTGGGCTTCAACTGTGCCTAAAAGCCCATTATATCGTACCTTATAAGGACAAAAGCTGGGTAAGACATATAGTATGGAGAGTTTGCTCTGCCATTCAATATGATTACTGGCTTCAAATTTCTGCCTGCTCCTCATATCCCTTGATTCCTATGGACACCAAAGATCTTTCTATCTCAGTGAGTCTTTAGAACTCTCTTCCCCAGAAATGACAGAGGTGGGAGTCTCAGAATACTTTTAAGCAAAGGTAAACAGCTTCCATTCTGGAAGGTCAAGTGCAGGTTGAAATAATACAGTGAATGGCAGAACCCTTAGGAGTATTTATATGCAGAGGGATCTGAGTATGCAGGTCGATAGATCACTGACAGTGACAGCGCAGGTAGATAAGGCAGTAAAAAAAGCCTATGGCTTGCTTGCCTTCATTGGAAGGGGCACTGAGTATAAGGATAGACAAATTATCCTGCAGCTTTACAGAACTTTAGTTAGGCCACACTTGGAATGTGCTTACAGTTCTGGTTACGACAGTACCAGAAGGATGTGGATGCTTTGGAGAGAGTACAGAAAAGGTTTACCAGGATTTTGCCTAAAATGGAGATTTTAGCTAAAAAGAAAGATTGGATAGACTGGGTTTGTTTCCATTGGAACGCAGGAGATTGATGGGTGACCTGATAGAAATTTATAAGATTGTGAATGGCATGGACAGAGTGGAAAGTGTGAGGCTTTTTCTCAGGGTGGAGGGGTCAATTACTAGGGGACACGAGGGGGGAAATTTAAAACACATGTGACAGACAAGTTTTTCACACAAAGGGTGGTGAGTACCTGGGACACACTGCCAGAGGTGGTGGTGGACACAACAGCACCATTCAAGAAGCACCTGGATGAATACACAAGTAGGAAGGGAATAGAGGGATATGGATCCTGTAAGTGAAGACAGTTTTAGTTTGGAAGGGCAAAATATGTTGGCACAGGCTTGGAGGGGAGAAGGGCCTGTTCCTGTGCTGTATTATTCTTTGTTCTTGACTAACAAAGGAGTCAGTGGTTATCAGGGGTAAGCAGGAATGTGGAATTGAGGAATGTGGCCTCAATTAGCTATGAATTTATTGAACGATGATGCAGGTTAGAGGGATTGATTGGTCTATTCCTGACCCCAATTTTTACGTACGTTCACTACTGCTTGTTTTATGTACACAGGAGAATGTGCAGACCATCTGCTGCCCTTGCTGTCCTAGGTGGTATGGTTGTGGTTTTGGAAGGTGCAGTTGAAGAAGTCTTGATGAGTTGCTGCAGTGTATTTTGTAGATGGCAGACACTGCTGCTACTGTGAGCTGCTGGTGGAGGATGTCAATATTTAAGGTGGTGAATGGGGTGGCAATCAAGTGGGGCTCTTTGTTTTGGATAGTGAGAAACTTCCTGTGTGTTCTTGGAGCAGTAGTCACCCAGACAAGTGAAGAGCATTCACTTTTTGATAGTGGACAGACTTTGAGGAGGAAGGAAATAAGTTGCTTGGCACTGAATTCCCAGTCTGTTACCTGCTCTTGCAGTCATAGTCTTTACATTGCTAGTCCTATTAAGATTCTGGTCAATGGGAACCAGAAATTGTTGATAATGTGAGATTCAGAGATGGCAGTACCATTGAATTTCAAGAGGTATAGTTAGATTCTCCTCCGTTGGAGCTATTCATTGCTTATCTCCTCTCTGATGGTTCTCCTACCTGAGGAGTTGTGAATGGTACTGAACATTGTACAATCATCACTGACCATCCCTACTTATGGTAGAGTAAAGAAGATCTTTTAAGTAGCAAATGAAAGTGGTCGGGCCTGGGACTTAATGCTGAGGAACTGCTGCAGGAATGTTGTTTTTGCCTGTCTGGGGAATCTGCAACATGGGGCACAGTCTCAGGATAAGGCCCTTATATTACAGGACTCAGCTGAGGGTAAACTTCATTACGCAGATAGTTGTGGATGTTCAGATTTTGGTTAATTCAAAGATGGAAGAGGTAGACTTTTTGAAGCACATTAATGGATGGGGGAGTGGGTGGGAAGTGGAGTAGAGACAGAAGATCAACCATGACTATACTGAATGACCAAGTAAGCTCTACTCCTCCTATTTCATATATTCTAGTGTTTAAATCAAGCTTGTTATTTCTGATTATAGAAACTTAGAAAATCAGAGCATGAGTAGGCCATTTGGTCCTTTGAGTTTGCTCTCCCATTCAATATGATCACGGCTAATCATCCAATCCAGTACCCTGTTCCACTTCCTCCCTATACACTTTGCTCCTTTTAGCCTAAAAAACTATATCTAACTCTATCTTGAAAACATTCAATGATTTGGTCTCAACCTCTTCTGTGGCAGAGAATTCCACAGGCTCACCATTCTCTGGGTGAAGAACTTTCTCCTCATCTCACTTCTAAATGACCTATCCTGCACCCTTAGACTGTGAACTCATCTCACTTCTAAATGACCTATCCTGCACCCTTAGACTGTGAACTCATCTCACTTCTAAATGACCTATCCTGCACCCTTAGACTGTGAACCCTGGTTTTGGACTCTCTAGATTCAAATGGACATTTTCTTATTTCAGTCACCCTATCATTAATTGTACGTTTAAGCAGTTCCTTGACAACAGTCTAACTGGTCTATAATTCCCTGGTTTTAAACTTCACTTTTCTTAAACAGCTTAGTGACATGCACCGATTTCCAATCTAAAGGAATGGTTTCAGAATAGAGAAGGGATTAGGAGATTTACATTTGGAGTACTTGCAATATTTTCACCTACTTGCTTGGGAATGAAAGCATGTGGTTCTGAAAATATGTTACTCTTTAGTGTCATTATTTTCTGCATTATTCTGCTTATGCTAATTTTGGTCAGTTCCTGCCCGTGACACAACACTAATCTCCTTCGGATGTCAGGGATACTGGCATCTGCTCCTATAAATATATATTCCTGAAATAAATTTCCCTCCATGTCTCTTTATGTAATAACTTTAAAATTGAAGGTTTCGTTTCACAGATTTATTGACATATAAATATAATTTATTTATAAACGTACAATTGACATATAATAGATACATCTATTAAATATATTCAATCTTCCCAAACCATTGAAAATATGCCCAGTCTCTTAGTAGCTATATTTTCTCAATTCTGGTATCAAGGCTTAAGACTGAGAACAGCTGGGAGTAATGACAGCCAGTTTCTTTCTATACACACAGTTGGGGCAGAAAAATTACAAAATAAACTGCTATCTTTTCCATTATTATGTTAATTGTCATCAGTTTCATTGTTAATATTGTTAAAGCAGTATTTCGGAAGTGGTATTTGTTTTACAGTCCTCCCGAAGAACCAAATTTTGCAGGCAAAAAGATACCTCGTTAGATCACCTTTAATTAAAGTGGGATATATTCAAAAAGATTTTTTATACAGTATCATTAAGAAGGTACCTGTCCTATTTGATCAGATTTATGTATAGTCGAACCAATATTCATTCTTCTCTGCTCAAGAAGAGCTCTGTATTTTATTCCACTGCTATGTGTATCCGTGGGATGATTTCTTCTAGTAAAAGCTTCAAGAATTGAAAATACAACAATAATTAACAGTGAAAAATGCACGATATACTTCACCCAAATGTCCCAATCCATCAGCTTGATACTTTCTGGTACACTAAAAATTTGGCATGATAACTCTGAACGTTAGAACATTTCTCAATTTTTTTTCTGCATCAGGTGATATTGCAGTGTTTCACCTTTAGATCTATATTCTAGAACCAAATTAAAAGTTAGCATGACTCTATAATATACAAGTGCACTATCAAAAACCAGTGTCTAGTCAATACAATCAATTCTCTTAACACACTGCTTTAAGTTAAATTTTACTGCCATGTTTTCAAGATAAACAGCAAAATGAGCATATTTCTCAGGTCTTATCTTGTTATTTTTAATCCTGATACAGCTTTTTGTGCAATATTGGATGTGACATTTTCCTTTCCAACTCCATATTTTAAGAAATCCTAATTATTGTGCACCTTAGTTTATAATAGCTTGCTGACTGGAGAAACAGCAGGTCTTCAGAATGCCACCCAATATCAATTCATAGCTCAGTCACGCCAAATATATTGAATGCACACAATCTGTCAAACCAGAAATTTTCCCAAGCATCTTTGAGATTTTTTAAGTATTTACATCATTATCCCATATCATTTGGATCAATTTATTTGCTCCATAAGATTGACATACTTAACCTAGTGTTTTCAGTGACTTCACTCTATGCACCGATTTCCCATAGTTTTGGCAAAGCTTCTACTAAAGCTGTGACAGATCATTCATTGTTAAGTTCATATTTTAAGGCATTTTATTCTTTATCTCTGGGTCTCTGGTGCAAAGTGGCATAAGGACAAACGAATTAGATGGTTAAATACATGGCTTAAAAAATCCAGAGAAAGGCAGGCAACTTATGGAAAAAGACAAGGAATAACCTCCTTTTCAGGCAAAAACAAAATGAAAAGGCAGGCTGGAGGTGTCTGTTAATGACAACTTGATAATAAATGATGGGAAAAGGTAGTAGAGAGAAAGCTGAAATCTGAGAAAATCAAGACACAGTCACTTTAAATGAACCTAGAAATAATTAGAGACGGAAGACACGTGAGTGTAGTTTATAAGATTCTAACTGTAGTTTTAGTCTCAAGCAGAGAATAAATCAGAAAGCTAAAAGTATATTTAACAGGATTAACACAGGAATCATTTTTGGGTGGTAGGGGAGGTGTTAGGAAAGAGGGGCAGTAGGAATGGTTACTAATCTTCATATTGCCTGAAAACCAAATACTGTGGAGGCAACACTAAGTTTGCAGGAAATTTTTAAAAATATTTCATGAGATGTCAGCCCCACTTGCAAGGCCAGTATTTGTTGCCTGTCCCTAACTGTCCATGGGGACCTCTTGGACCTTTACAGTCTAAGTGATGTAAGTACAACCAAAGGCTGTTCAGGTCGAAATTCCGCGTTTCTGACCTAGTACCAATGAAGGGACAATACAATTGTGGTGTTGATACTGAGCGAGTTGGAAGAAAGTTACAGGAACTGGTGTTCACATGTATTTTCTGCCATTGCCCTCACAGTTTGTAGAACTTACAGGTTTGGAAAATGTTGTTGAAAGATGCGTGGCAAATTGCTGCAGAGCATTTTTTCAATGGCCGATACTGCTGCCACTGTGCAGGAAGTGAATAGTTATATTGGTGGATAGGTGCTGACCAGGAGGGCTGCTTTTTCCTCAGTGTTGAGCTTCTTGAATATTGGTGGGGCTGTACCCATCCAGGCAGTGAACAGTATTCCATCATACTTCTGACATGTGTCTTGTTGATGGTTGTTTGGGACGTAGGAGGAGTTCATGGAACATAGTTTTCCAGATCAGTGAGTCCAGGAACCAATTAGGGAACAGGCTATTTTACATTTAGACTAAGGCAAAATGATAGGGTTAATTAATAATAACTTAGTAATAAAGGAGCCTTCCAGAGGACAGTGATCATAATATGAGGGAATTTTATATTGAACCTGAGAGATTTAGTTTGATATTAAGGTCTTGAATCTGGACATAGCAAACCAAGTAGGTGTAATGGATGATTTGGGTGGTTCATAAGTTTAAATAAATGTAAATTTCTTTAAGGAACAAAATTAAAAATGGGAAAATGGTCCAACTGTGGCTAACAAGGCAATTTAAGCTAGAACAAAAGCAAATACTGAAGAAACTGGAAACCTGAAACTTAAACCTAAAATTCTGAATATATTTCGCCAGTCTGGCAGCATCTGTTCAGAGAGAAACACTGAAGCAGTGGACAAATTCGATGAGGATGGCTCTTGCCCACTGGCTGGAGAGCTAGTGAGGGCCCTACATCATATCATTTTGGGACGTTCTACCATATTAAGTTCCAATTAGGTACTGGGTGAGCCTCCCCCATGATCAAAGACTCTGGGGGCACATGTCCACATGTTGACAGTTCTCTGTCAATCAGACTTTTAATTGTTCAGCAACACTAACACTGGAAAGGTGGCTGGCGCTCATAATGCTGAGGGATGGAGGCCACAGGGTGAATGATGGTGGGATGGAGACCACGGGGTAGGTGATGCAAGGGAGGGGTGGAGGGAGTTCCAAAAGCAAGGGCAAGGAGTTGGCTCTCAGGAGGCTCTCTGGATCCCTTAGTCAGGCAATATGCATTTAAACAATGGTCTACCCTCACCAGCTCTGAAAGCCCACGAAAAACCCTGCCATGGTTTGTTTTCCAGAAAACCTGTTCGCTTCTGAGTGAATACCAGCGTTGGCAGATGGGGAGGGGTTGATTGACCAAATGACATGTTGGCATTCATTTTAAGGGCATTTGAGAACATAAGTGAAGATGGCTTGTTGTAATTGTACAGAACCTTGCTGAGATCACAGCTGGAAACTGTACGGTTTTGGTCTCCTCATTTAAGGGAGGGCATACTTGCCATTAAAAAAAATCTTGCTGTTTGCTTCAAATGACTTCCATGTTGGTCACATGGCAACAAACTCTCAGGACATGCTCCATGTCTCCCTCTGTGCACCATCACGGTACATCTCTGGTCCACATACACTTTGCCTCTGCACTTCATTCTGCACTTCAATGAAGTACACAATAACTGGCGGTGAAAAGCTACTGCAAGGACACTTTGCACTCAGCAACAAACACCAGCTCATAGAAAGACCCAAGCTTCAGCTCAGGTCTGCTCACCTGCTTTTTGAACACTCATACACTTAGTGCCTACTTGGATGCTCCCAGTATCCCAGATATGCCTCAGCTTACCTAAAATGGAGTTTGGTCCCTCTGCCAGAGTTAACACATGCACAGTACTTTCATATTAACTTATCTTTTAACACAGACACAAAGCCAGGAACCCTATAATGGTTGTCAGCACTTGGCCATCAAGTCAAGGGTGATAGCTTTTGACCATGGAGTTCCCAGAAAATAAGTCAAGGGCAGCCTCTGATCCCATCCAGGGGCTTCAACAAAGTCAGTCAGCCATTCAGGATAGTCAGAATCAGTCTGCTCTCCTCATAAGACGTGAAAAGCCAAATGTCAGGAGGCTTCCACCTGCCTTGACTCTTTTTGCCCAACTGGGGGCTGTTTTCCTGCTTGAATGAGATCTAATATTATCTTTATTTTCCTTTGTTAGCCATAGTCTGGCAGGGGGGTGGGAACCAAAGGGTAGGCTTAGATGAGTCAGATTCAAATCTGGAAACAGGAGGCAGAACTTTAGTTAGTGATGTAGTCAGTGACTCCGAAAGACAAATGAAACAAGGATTAAAAAGCGTCCAGCAAAGGAAATTGATGGAATTGAGCTGCTTGTACCTCAACTCAAAGAGTATTATAATCAAGGCAGATAAATTAAGGGCACAGATAGACAAATGCTGGAAACCTGGCTAAAGGAAGGGCAGAACTGGCAGCTCTATATCCCTGGGTATAGAGTTTTCAGACAGGATACAGTGGATGACAAAAAAAACGAGGGGGTAGTAGAATTGGTTTAAGAATCAATTACGGTTGTGAGGAGGGATGATATACTAAATGGTTAACAAATAAGGCTTTATGGGTTGAGGTTAGGAATAAGAAAGGGCAGTCATACTACTAGAAGTATACTGTGGTAGTGGCAGGGAGATGGAAGGACATATGTGTAGACAAATTTCTGCCTGTAGGAATAGGAGGGCATTAATAGTAGGATACGTTAACTGTCCCAATATCAACTGAGTTTCACACAATATAAGGGGCCATTGAGGGTGAAAAATTCATGTTTCTGGCTGGTGACTCTAGAATCAAATGACATAATATCAGGATGAGTTGTGTATGTCATATGAGATGAAGATGAAGAAGATGAAGAATTTCTTCACTTGGGGTTGATGAACTCTCTATCTCAGAGAACTGTGGAAACTCAATTATTGAGAATGTTTTAATGCCATTAAGGGATATCGACAGAGCACGAAAGTGACACTGAGGTGGAAAGTCAGCTATGGTGTGTAACTTGAATAGCAGAACAGGTTCAATGAAGTGAATGGCGTACTCCTTTTCCTGTGGTCCTTTGTCTTTCGGCTGTCTGACCTGATACTAATTGTGAAAGAGGCAGGAGTGTAGTGAGGTTCCTGCACAATTTCACTACTAGAGCTGTCTTGGAGAAGGCTTGTAAATTCAATTTAATGTTCCAGTTTGATGACCTTTTCTCATAGCGAGAAAAAGAGATTTAACAGATTTAAGACCAATGCAGAGGCAGGCAAAGGGGTTGGGGAAACAACAAAACAATCTGTGGAAGGATTGAAGACAGCCGAAAGATTAAATAACAAAAAGGGACAAATAAAGTCATAAAATGTGCCTCAAAGTGTTTCATAAGAGCGTAAAAAATAGGATCAGAAATAGGGTGTTTGACCCCTCAATGATGCTTCGCCACTCAATAGGACTTGAAATCTAGGGGTAGATCGATAGTTGGATATAAAATTGACTTGAAGGTAGGAGACACAGGGCGGTGGTCGAGAGTTGTTGTTTGGACTGGAGGCCTGTGACCAGTGGTGTCCCG